TCCACTCTTCGACACACCTCTGGTGACCGCTAGTCGCTTCACGCGCTCCTGAATGGTCGACATACTTACTGCAAAACAAAAGAACAAGAGGTTAGCGAACATGAAAATAACAGAGCCCACAAGGAGGGCGGGCGAAAAATGACCTACTACCTAAGAGACGCAAGGCTTCCTCGTCCGACGAACATTCGAGCAGAGGCCCTCGTATTAATGAGCCTCGGCTGCTGGAGGATATTCCCATACCTGTCGAGGATAAAGTTACCGTCGGGCGTCACGAGTTTCGCCGGGGTAAAGTTGGCCACAAAGGCCACCAACCTTTGATAACCTACCCAGTACTACTCGTCCAAGGTACCTGCTCGCACGATATAGTGGTTCGTGGTTTGTTTGAAGTGTTCCTCCATCCAGTCCAAGGGGACCCTCGGCACCATGACCTCTTCCCTTTGCTTGTTCACTTCCCGGGATTCACGGCGGTATAACGAGGCACATGCCTCATGAGACACGGGACGAACCACAAAGAATATATCTTTGAAAGTCTGGACAGAATCTATGTACACCCTGAAAAATCTCCTTGGCTGCTTCAATGACACCCATCCTTGTCAGTCATCAACCGTTTGTCTTTGCAGATGAAAAAGTCAGAAGAACAGGGTGAGAGTGACCCCGATCTCAAGGTGCTGACAGACGAGCTCGTATGTAATCGCGTTGGGGTGCAACTGCGAAGGCGCCAGCCTTAACCAGTCGAAGACCCCTAGTTGAAAATCTGAGAAGGGCAACCGAAGTCCCACGTTACGAAAGCAAAATTCATACATGGGAAATTGCATCTTCCCATAGCTCGAGCATATACGGTGGTGAACCTGTGGTCAATATGCTTGCCAGCTCATAGAGGAACCCTCGCGGCGATCCTCGATCGTAGCGAGAGCGTCAGAGTCATCCTCGACGAAATGGGAAGGCATACTCAAGGGCTCCTCCCCGACCCAATCCTCGACTGTCCTATTCTGCACCTTGATAGGCGAGGCCGCGGGAGCGTCCGGCTCTACGTCGACTTCCATAACTCATGGTATTCACGCGGCCATGTTCACCTGAAAAGTAGAGGAAAATGGTGAATTTGACGTTTCAAGATCAAATTCACCCTTCCATCATAACTCAAGTGAAAGGGCCAAGGGGACGACAACTACGATCTAGGCTTCTCCGACCTCGACATCCACCTCCCCGCGTGGTTTACTATCGTATCCCCGGGACATTCATCCAGCGATAGCATACGTCCCTGGGACATTCGTCCAGTGCTAACATACGTCCCCGCGACATTTATCTTTATCTAGCATACGTCCCCGAGACATTCATATATACATATCCTATGTCCCCGGGGTGTTCATCCAAACCCTATCCTCTGTCCCCGGAGTGCTCATCCAGCACCATCACATGTCCTTGGGAAACTCGTCCAAAACCTATCAATTAACCCCGGGGGTTCATCCCAAGTCATGGGAATCCCTCTGTAATCATCGGAAAACCCACACCTCCTCAGGACACTCGTCGTGTCTGCCGTAAGAGTTGTCGGAAATAAAAAGAGACAGAGGAAAAGGAATAAAGGGCTTACTTAATATAGTAGCTTGAGTAGGGGTACGACGAACTTCACGGCGGACGGTACGATTGCGGCGTTTTCACAGCGGCATAAGTATGGAGGAGCAAGAAAAAGGTGCGTTCGTTGGAGTTGATAGTGAAAAGTAACAAAGGAGCAGGCCCCAACCTATTTATAAACCTAGCACAAAACTCGAAGCGCCCTTAGGCAATCAAGTACCCCTAGGATTAGCCACCATAGGATTGGTAATAGGCAATAGACACGTGGCAACCGTGACTGACTATAATCAACATGTTTAGAGTCTGCACTCAAAATAATAGTAATAATTGAATAATAAAGTTCAGAAGCAAGAGAAAAATAACACACAAAGTTTATCTTGGTCCCTCTCCTAAAATAAGAGTAGTCAGTCTCCTTTGCTCAACAAGAGTTTTTCACTATAATCAAACTGATTACAATTTTGCCCAATCAAACCAGAAAGAGAGTTCAATTGCTCAATTAAACTAGAAAAAGACTTCCGCTCAAGCAACCTAGCAAGAGACTTCTGCTCAATCACACTAGAAAGAGACCTCACGGCTCAAGACTTCCTATACTTTAAACAAATAGTTTAGTAAAAAAGATAACAATTATACTTTGATACACAATCAAAAGTATAAAAGAATTACAACAACCATAATGAGTTTAGACATTTAAGATTTCTAAGATATACAAAGATAAGAAATCTTAAAGGCTTGTGCAAATTAACAGGTGAAACTTTAACTTAAAGTTTGTACTAAATGCGATATGTTAAATTGTTTGATAGTTGTTAACCTTCCTCCAAATATTTAGCTCCCTTTTATATAGGCAGAAAAAGAGTCGTTGGAAAGTTGTTTGGATACATGATCTTTGTTGAGAAGCAATCCATGAGAGATGTTGGATGATGTATCTAGTTAATATTAATGTCCATTGAGTTATAGCATTGTCCATAACATCTTTATCATATTAGGTATTTATCAAAAGGTTGGGGCACACTTAAGAGGTCACATAACCATTTCTTGAGCCTTACAAAACAAACCCTAATTGACTTTCTCCAAACTTTAGCATTTTGATAAGACTGGCCTGCTTTTGGGATAGGGTACAAATCAGAGGTTTAGCCCTTTTAACTAAGGTATTCAGAGTCTAAGCTGTCACTAGAGGTAGGGATACTGTGATCAGATTCTAATCCTTCAAAAGCTGATATACACGTACAAATTCATCATATTCTAATCTTTCAGAATCTGAGTTACTTTGCTTCTCTACACATGCTTTTAATAGGGTCAATTTAGAGTTGAATTCTAAGTTTATCGCTAGTAGAAAAATTACTTTTTTAGCAGTGGTTGTTAAGTCAGTTAACTTGCCACCTGACTTAAGAAGTGATGCGGTGGCAATTTTGTAAATATTTATAACTTAGTTAAGTCGGGTGCATTTAAAACCGATTTAACAAAAGTTAAATAAAAAATATACAATTCACTTTAAATTTCTTAAGTCATATGTGTTTACTAACTGACTTAAAAAATCAATTTATTAAGTCAGGTGTCGTTCACCTGACCTAAGAAGTTTTATTTACTTGTAACAAATTAAATTTTGTGTATACCCGAGGGAATCGAATTGAGTATCCTTAAAAAATATAGTTAAATAATAAAATAAAAGAGGGAAAGGGGGCGATATGCACGACAAATGGATTAGGGTTTTTATTTTCCTTGTCTTCTTCTCCATTGTGAATCTGCCGCCGGCGACTCCCATGACAAGCTTTCCACTTCCCGTCCGATCTTCTTCTTCACGATTCTCGCCCGCTTTTCTTCTTCCTTTTCGTGACATCTAAAAAAAACAAACATTCGGTTAAAGAGAAAATGGCTCACCCTTCGGGATTTGGAGCGACTATTAATGTTGAACTCAATGGAACCGTGATTCGTTTTAAGTCTTTTCGGGATTACGTTGATCTCTTTCTGAAATGTGCTGAGAAGTCTAAACCCACACCCCTGCCATGGTTTGTTTCTATAGACACTTAGTTTGAGAACTCAATCTATGGGCGTGTCGGTTTGTTTTCCGTTGTTATATAACTTGATTTTGTTGTTGTTTGTTATTAGGATTCATGCCAAAGTATGTGATAGGTGGAAGATCTGTGTGAGTCTAAGTGATGGACAATTTCAACAGCTAGACAAGCTAGTTTTGGTTCCAAGTGTGATGTTCTAGAATCAATGCTTAAGTATGGTTTGTAATGCATCATTTATTGTTTGTAATTGTATCAATACTTTCATGTTTTTTACACTCACATGTTGTAAATCTATGCAGTTGAAAAATCTGGAATAGTGGACACCCTCTTGTCATGGGCAGATTTTAAACAAAGTAAAGATCTGAAAAAAACTGATGGAACTAACACTCAGGATTCGTGGGATTGTAAAGCTTGAGGATGCCAATGATGCTGGTCGAAGGAACTTCGAGAAATGTACCTTGATATTGACGAAGGGTGATTCTGCTAAGGCTCTCGCGGTTAGTTGTTGCTTATTGTTTATTTATTGTATATATATTATACATATAGAAAGAAATGCATTTCAATTTTTGGTATTTGCAAGAAAAAGGTTGAAACATATATTCATTTTAATTTAAAGTATGTCATACAAAATCCCTAACATTTACAAATACTGATGAGAGTTTAAGTTAATTTGATTTTTTCTTCTTTTGTGTATGAAGATGGCCGGGCTCTCTGTAGTGGGCCGAGACCACTATGGTGTGTTTCCGTCGAGAGGAAAATTGCTCAATATGCGGGAAGCTAGTAGCAAACAGATAATGGAAAATGAAGAAATTCAAAATATAAAGAAGATACTTGGGCTGCAGCAAAACAAGGAGTACACAAATGTGAAGTCTTTGAGATATGGTCATTTGATGATTATGGCTGATCAGGTGAGGGTTACTTACTTAAAGATCATTGTTTAATAATATTTGATTTTATGCTCACTTTCAATAGAATATGAATGAGACCCTACATATTATAGATGTTTTTCTTATCACTGGAGTTATAAAAGCTCAAATTTATGTGTGATCCAGGATCATGATGGCTCCCACATCAAATGGCTTTTGATTAACTTCATTCATTCCTTTTGGCCATCACTGCTTAAGGTTCCATCTTTCATGGTCGAGTTCACTACTCCCGTTATAAGGGTTAGTAGGTTCCATCTTTCTTTTGTTGTGTGTAGGGTTTTGTGGAGGACCAGTTTGGATTAGGCTTAATTGCTAGGGCAGTTGAAGAAGGGATATCGGTAATCAAACCAAATGGTATGATTGAGCTTTGTATTATTCTTCCTTTAGAAGTTGTATGATTGAGCTTTGTTGACTGTTTGTAAAATCTCCCAGGTGTGCCACAGTAGCAGTTGCTGATGTTATGCATGCACAGCGAGTTGTGCCACAGTATGGGGTGATGGGATTTACTAGGATAGGAGCTGGATTGCCTGCATTGGAAAGCAGTAGTTTCCATGAAGCTCATCAGACACTGCAGGAGCTGCGAGCTAACTCCAATCCTGGTTTGTTTTTTTTCCTGAATAAAGTATTTGATCTTGTTCTCTGTTTTGGATTTAGTTTAATTGAAATTTTATCTCAGGTTTCCCTAGTTAGCAAAGATTCCTCTATGTTAGATGGGCTTGACAATGCCAGTATTGAAATGGAAGAAGCCAAGGTTTGTGATTTTATGATGACTTATAGTCCTTTTTCTACCATCAAGGCTTTGCAATAATGATGATAAATTGAGTGTTATTTATGCTCGAACATTCTGCAGGCTCGGCTGAATGAAATTATTACCTCTAATTTAAAGACCATTCATAGCGATGAATCGCCTGAATTTTCTTGGATGGTTGATGGAGCTGGATTGCCATCCAATGCATCAGAGTTGCTTCCAAAGTTGGTATGTTTTGTAACATAGCTACACATCATTGTGCCTTTGATCCCTTCATGATTAAGAGGGGAAGCTAAAATGCTCTTTTCTTAAATTGAAGAAAGTTATCTAGATCTCTTATGAAAGTCATTAAATACTTGGTATATGCTGACAAATGTCTGCTGCCTTATGAAGAATCTAGTATTTAACTTCATTTTAGGTTCGTCTAGTTTTGCTATAATAAAAATTGTCTGAAAGTGAAAGTCTTAATTCTTATTGAGACTTAAGAGATAGCATCTCAATCAAGTATGCTATTATCTACACCATATCTTAATATGGAACCCTTTCTATCTGCAGTGGAAAAGAATAGTCGTGATGAATGATTCATTATGTTTAAAGCGCATAATAGTGTGTAAAGTCTAAACAAGAAAACTGAATTGAAACTTGAAGAGCCTGCATAATACATAAAGCTGTTCAATCTAGGAAAAAGAGGGATCATCACTGCACCCATTTAAGGGGTTTGTGATTAGACAGATGGACATTCTTTTTAAATGAGCAGAACCCCTGTTAAACAACCTTGAGTAGAACTTGAAATAGATTGTACATTATATTTCAAATTCTTATTATGACAATTCTTTTTTATAAATCCTTCTTATATGCAGACATATTTTAAGATCACAAATATGTCAGAAAATAATTGATTTAGTTGGAATTATCAAATTTGAATAGATTAATGATTGGTAGGGTAGGTTTATTTTTCATTTTACATGATCATGCTGATCTTATGTCAATATTCAGATCATGTTATCTTTCGCCTATCGGAAACCTGTTTGTTTGCTGTTGTCTGAGTTTACTAATCAACACATGCTGATCTTATGTCAATATTTAGATTGACGAAAAGGGAAGATTGTTCATACCTCAACTTGATTGACAGGTTTTATATACTTTATAGAGATATACTCTATTGTTATTATTTTAATCCTAATAATCTAATGTATTCCTAATAATCATAAACATAATATTTAGTAATTATTTGTAATATATTTAGTTATTTACATAGTCTAATAAAATCTTTAGTCTCTAGTGCACAAATTCAGTTGTTTTGAACATTACTTTGTTCTTTTTGCAGATTGGTGAAAACAAGATTGTTCAGAAGACTTGAACATGCGTTGAAACTGGTTATTTGTAAATCTGTTTGAAAACAAGGTAAAAAAAACATATTTATTTTGTTTACTTTTTCAGTATTTTTTGTTTGTGGATTCTTTTCATTTTCACTCTGCACTGCCTTTGAATATTCATAGCCTGTTTGTTTTCAGTTATCAATGATGAAGTCTCATTTGTAAATCTGTTCATTGTTTGTTCAAATGTAGGTGATTACCGCGAGATATACCAAGCACCATAGCAACATGTATTTCGCTCGGCGGAGTCCTTGGGACTGCTTCAATGCGAAAAGCCTATTCAAACAAATGGTCGCTTGTGTTTCTATGGATTTCGTAGGATTTACGTAATGGCTTGTTCCTCATGTAACAACTTAGCTTTAGAATTTTTCATAATTGAGTCGCGTTTCCAAGATGTAAATTTTGGATACAACTTGCAATTTGTAAAAACTGTTAATTTAATTAATAAACCAAATTTAGCAATACTGGCTTTACATTGTTATGAACTTCCAACCTTCCAATCTTTAAAATATTTTGATTGTTAACCAATTCTTTAATATATATATATATATATATATATATATATATATATATATATATATATATATATATATATATATATATATATATATATATATATATATATATATATATATATATATATATATATATATATATATATATTAAAAAGTGTTATTACAAAAAAAAAACTTCTTAGGTCGGTTAATTATACCCGATTTAAGAAAATAAGTTCTTAGGTCGGGTATAAATGGTTTCTGCAGGCTAGACTTATTAAGTCGGGTTCTGTATAACCGACCTAATAATAGTTTGTTAAGTTAGGTCCACAACCGACTTAAGAAGTCAAAACTTCTTATGTCGCTAATGAAGGAAAATTGAGATCTAAACGCAGCGGAAAACAAAAATTTTCCTTTAGTGATCCTCACGAATGAGCATGGTCAGTGATAGAATCGTTACCTCTTTGTGGCGATTCAGATCTTTGATGCAGCGATCACAAGCGTTGATGAAGTGCAACGCCTCTACTCAGTCCACACGAACAGCTTCCGGTCACAGTGCTAGCTGCTTACGAACGGAATTATTTGAGTGAGAAAAGAGAATCAAAAACGAAATTGCATCAAGTGAAAGCTTCATCACAAGGGTTCCTTTTATAGACTCTCTTGTGGGCTGCGGGCTAAAACCCTAATTCACATGATCCATAATAATATTATATATTATTATAATAACTATTATTATAATAAATATATTTATTTTATTATTATTTTATAACCATTATAAAATAACAATAATTATTATTATATTATCCGAATTTCTATTTTTCACTTAAGTGCACCGTACCTTACGGTGTTCCTTTGATTTCTCTATTTCTCATCAAACTGTCCTTATGTGTGTGACCCTGTAGGATTTCGTAACGTTGGTAATTATATTAAATTATATATATTTAACATAATAAACAGTAAGCGGTATCTAGCAACACATCACTGCTACCCAAGTCACGAAAATGTCATGTGATCTGACAAAACCTTTTTCGTGATAATATATGTTTGTACAATTACCCTTTTGCCCCTATGTCTATATTGAACACAAGGCATACACTGTGTCATCCTTGTCCAGTTCAATATTGGGCCCTTAGACATTTCTCCTGTTATGCAGGATTGGCAAATTCCATCTAGGACACTCATGTCCCTCAGCATGCTTCGTGGAGTGCCCATCAACTGTCTTTATGATCATCCAGTTACGGATAATGTTTGATCAGCAATAAAGCACCCGACTCTACATCTAGGGTCCATAGTGGTTTCAGGTCGAAGGGTGGTAATACACCATTATCACCATGAGAATAACTTATGACACTTTGCATAACATACTATGTAGTATTCTCATAGCGGGTCAATCCGGTATAAATATTACTCCTAATATTTATACCTATGTCAAGACTTGATAACTCTTTATCCATGATCCATGAGATGTGATCATCAGTCTATCTTCATAATAGTCTCAATGCTTTTAATGTTATCCCACTTTGCAATAAAGCTTGACTACGGATATTTTAAGAATAATGTCTTTATGTTTAATGGGATCTCATGATTAAGTCACACTTAACATTTCATTAAACAGACTAACTATTCTAGGGACTTTATTATTCTGAAAGACAAACATAATAAAGAAATGCCTTTTATTATTAAACGAATAATCTGATACAAGTACCAAAAAGTATTGGCCTCTAGGGCTTACACCAACAATCTCCCACTAGCACTAGAGCCAATTAGGCATACCCCTAATACCCATAGATCTAGTATGACCATCATGCTTCTGTTGCGCAAGAGGCTTTGTTAATGGGTCAGCGATATTGTCAAGTGTAGGTACTCTGCATATCTTCACATCTCCCCGATCGATTATCTCTCGAATGAGGTGATAATGCCTAAGTATGTGTTTGGATCGTTGGTGAGATCTAGGCTCCTTAGCTTGTGCGATAGCACCATTGTTATCACAATATAAACCAATGGGATCCACAATGCTAGGGACTATGCCAAGTTCACTAATGAACTTCTTGATCCAAACAGCTTCCTTTGCTGCATTTGAGGCAGCAATATACTCGGCCTCAGTTGTAGAATCAACAACTGTTTCTTGCTTTGAACTTTTCCAGCTCACAGCGCCACCATTGAGACAGAACACATAACCAGATTGTGATCTAAAATCATCCTTATCTGTCTGGAAGCTAGCATCAGTGTAACCAATTACATCAAGCTCTTCCTGACCTCCATATATCAAGAATGAATCCTTAGTCCTTCTCAAGTACTTAAGGATATTCTTGACAGCTACCCAGTGAGCATCACCGGGATCAGATTGGTACCTACTCGTTGCACTTAATGCATACGAGACATCTGGTCGAGTACATAACATGGCATACATGATAGATCCTATTGCAGATGCATATGGAATCTTATTCATGCGATCCCTTTCTTCCTTAGTTGAAGGGGATTGTGTTTTTGATAAACACAGACCATGTTGCATAGGTATGAATCCTTTCTTGGAATCATGCATATTAAAGCGTCTCAACACTTTATCTATGTATGTACTCTGACTTAGGCCAAGCAGTTTTTGTGATCTATCTCTATAGATCCTAATTCCTAATATATAGGCTGCTTCACCTAGGTCTTTCATAGAAAAACAATTCCCTAACCAAGTTTTCACTTGTTGCAAGGTAGGGACATCGTTTCCAATGAGTAATATGTCATCTACATATAATACCAGAAACACGATCATGCTCCCACTAACCTTCTTGTAGACACAAGGTTCATCTTCATTTTTGATGAATCCATATTGTCTTACGGTTTCATCAAAACGAAGATTCCAGCTTCTGGAAGCTTGCTTCAATCCATAGATTGATCGCTGTAACTTGCATATCTTTTGGGCATCTTGTGGTATGTCAAATCCTTCAGGTTGTGTCATGTACACATCCTCAAGAAGATTCCCATTAAGGAAAGCAGTTTTGACATCCATCTGCCATATTTCATAATCATGATATGCAGCGATGGCAAGTAAAATCCGAACAGATTTAAGCATTGCAACTGGTGAAAAGGTTTCATCATAGTCAACCCCATGAATTTGTTTATAGCCTTTTGCAACCAGTCTTGCTTTATAGGTATGTACCTTACCATCCATGTCAGTCTTCTTCTTGAAGACCCACTTGCATCCTATAGGGTTAACTCCTATAGGAGGTTCTACCAAGGTCCAAACCTGGTTTGTGTACATGGAATCCATTTCAGATTTCATGGCTTCTAGCCACTTCTCAGACTCAGGACCAGTTATGGCCTCTTTGTAGGTCACAGGCTCATCTTGATCCATGAGTAATACATCACCCTGATCACTTATGAGATATCCATATCTCTCAGGTTGGTGACGTATCCTGCTTGACCTACGCTGGTCTTGTTCTTCTTGAGCAGGTTGCTCTTCCACAACTACTTGTGTTTCCCGCTCTAGTTCCTCCATAGGTGTTTCAATGTTTTGTGATTCTTGAATTTCTTCAAGCTCTATTTTCCTCCCACTGTTTCCTTTGGAAATAAAATCCCTTTCCAGAAAGACTCCAGTTCGAGCGACAAACACTTTGCCCTCAGAAGGATTGTAGAAGTAATATCCTCTTGTTTCTTTAGGATACCCCACAAATAAGCATTTGTCAGATTTGGGCTCAAGCTTGGTTGAAATTTGTCGTTTGACGTAAACCTCGCAACCCCAAATCTTCATGTAAGACATATGTGGTTTCTTACCACTCCATATCTCATATGGTGTCTTATCAACCTTTTTGGATGGAACACGGTTAAGTGTGTAAGCTGCTGTTAATAATGCATGTCCCCAAAAGGAGTTTGGAAGATCGACGTGACTCATCATGGATCGGACCATGTCTAACAAGGTTCGATTTCTTCTCTCAGATACACCATTCCATTGTGGTGTTCCAGGAGGAGTAAGTTGGGATAGAATCCCATACTCTTTTAGATGGTCATCAAATTCTAGGCTTAAATATTCACCGCCTCGATCTGATCGAAGAACTTTAATATTCTTACCTAGTTGGTTTTGTACTTCATTCTTGAATTCCTTGAACTTTTCAAAGGACTCAGATTTGTGTTTCATTAAATACACATATCCGTATCTACTGAAGTCATCAGTAAAAGTGATGAAGTACTGGAAACCTCCTCTGGCTGGTATGTTCAGTGGTCCACATACATCAGTATGTATGAGTGCCAAAAGATCATTAGCCCTTTCACCTTTTCCTGTGAATGGGGACTTTGTCATCTTTCCAATTAAACAAGATCTGCATGTCTCATATGATTCATAATCAAAAGAGTCCAAGAGTCCATCTTTATGGAGTTTGGAAATGCGTTTCTCATTTATGTGGCCTAATCGACAGTGCCAAAGGTAAGTTGGATTCAACTCATTAGGTTTCAACCTTTTAGTATTAATGTTATAAATTGGCATTTCAAGATCAAGGACATAT